AGATTCAGCGCTGCTTAGTCCCTGTCAAATGGGCTCTTTGTGCAACCTCCTGCTGTAATGTAAAAGGTCCCCCACAGGAATTTGTGCTATTCAGTAGAAAATACAAAAGGGAGGTTGTAAACACTCTGATTAGTGTTGGAGCACAGAGATGTTGTCTTCACAACACGTTACATAACCGTGCAAGTTCCAATTTACCTCCTCCCCTCCTGAAGAAACAGCTTAACAGCAAGGGCTTACTGGTTTATTTAACTTAACATCACATTTTTTTGTCATACAAAGGCTGTGTAATTTCTGGCAAAAGAAGAGAGAAAGGTTACTTCAGTAACATCCCCTAGTAATTTGAGATGATTGCCTGTGAGGATCTCCACTTGAAGTGACCGGCAGAGGCTCTCAGCTCTGAAGAATAAGTATTATCGGAGGCTGTTGCCAACACAAGTTCACGCACAAAGGGCCCATCAGCTAATTAACTCCGAATGAATCTTCTCCCATTTTTTGAAGACAAACAAGTGATTGTGTGCAGTGCTGACTAAACCAATTTACTGCCGTGTTTAATACATTTGGATGACTTCTGACTTACAAAACTTACTATGGTCTGAGGCCTACTTAGACAGACCAGGGCACCTTCTTACATGTTTACTGTAAAATTCTTACTGCTTTACGGACAAGGTCAAGCAATGATTCTGAGCTGGCAAGCCCTCTGCTTTGAAATTCAGTCTTGCTGGTGTACTTAAGCCTCATAAATGTGATAAAATAATAATGGAGGGCAGCTTTAGAAAGCATTTTGTCAGGGAAAAAAAAGGGAAAAAGGCAGAGCCGTGTTAATGAATAATTCCTGCCCATTCCCTCTCTGTTATGCTACTACTGCAAGAAAGCCACTTATGAGGTTGAGTTTGTGTTGGAGAGATGGGAGAATACATGGGTTGCACTATTCCGGGACAGCTTTAGATACACTACCTGATTTTAATTAGCAGTAAAGCAATACACAGCAGACATAAAGAGGTGTAGCTTATGAAAGAAACTGGTTGGCCACATACAGAAACACACATGCAAACAATGAGAGCCTGAATATACAAAGGAAAGCCTAAAAGCAGTGTATTAGTTAATGCCTTTGGGGGAAAAAGTATGTTACTGGTAAGAAGTAGCACACAGCAGAAGAGAGCCAAAAGAGCTGTACAACACTGAACTCTGCCTCTACAACCCCCACTGCTATGGAGTCACACCATTCCGAGATCTTTAAGCAAGAAGGAAGTTTAAAAATACCCAAGCAATGGAGAGGATATAAGAACACTTGGGCCTTGGCAGCCTCACATCTTAGATTTGTCTGAAAGGGATTCGCTTTGTTCCTTCCCACATTTTGTGTATGTTTTGCTATGTGAGTAGCACAGAGTTTACTTATGTACTGCTTGGGGAATGATGTCAGGCCAAGAACACGTGACAAATCTTGGTACAGGCGTTTCTTTTACAAAATCCAACAGCCGTTACGATCAGCAAGACGTTATGTGATCAGCGCTCCTCTCCCTGACACGGAGGAGCACGGTGGCACGATGGCAGTGGGGGAACCCCAACATGGTACCCAGAGAAACGAGCCCCTCCCAGGGCTGTCCCATGACAGCCATCACTGTGCGTTACAGGGGTTACTGCCTGCAGGAGTACAGGACTCCTGGGGCACAGGGGAAGAGCATTTTGGGATGGCACAAGACCTATTACAGGATTTGTAGCAGAAGGACCAAAGGCAGGGGAAGAGGGGGATCAAGGTTGCTCGGGGGGAACAAAGATGAAGAAAAAGAGGGATAAGAACATAAAAGGGGCTGGTCAGTTGCAAACAGGTTGCTGGTCAGTACACTTGTCTGGCCATGCCCTGCAGGCACCTCATCACCACCATGTGTCCTGTCTTCTTACTCAACTCTTCTCCTGGGTGAGGGAGTCTCGGTGCTGTGTGCACGGTGGTGTAAGTGCCAGCCCCTGGAGAAGGGACCACAAGTTACAGAGACCTGTGTGTCACAGGTGCCTGTGGCTGGAGAGATCAGAGTGTGTGCGTGTTGTGTGGGTCTCCGTTTCAGTGTGTGATCACCAGCAAACATCAAGCCAGACCAGCCAGCCAGCAGGATGGGAGGCTTGGGAGCCACCTATCAAAGTAGCCATAATTTTGGGATGGATGCTGGAGAAATCATAGATGTGTTACTGGAAATACAAGCAAGTGTTCTTATATTCAGTTTTTTAAGTACTAGATGTGAAATCCATTAAACGTACAAAAAGCAAGGAGGAACCCCAAGAAATGACAGGAAAGCAATGTCATGTTGTGGTTGTCATACTCACTCTCTCTGCATGGTGTCAACGCTTCTGAAATTTAGGAGCAACAAAGGATGCATTTAGGAGCCTGCTGGGAGAAACAAGCAAACAAACAAACAAACAAACCCCAAAACAAAAACCAAAGCAACTAAACTAAAACTTTCTCTGCTTTTACAGAGAGAATAACAAAAGGCCTTCAACCTCTTCTCAGTCAGAACCTGAACAGACTAGGGATTTGTGTAATTTCTTCTTACATGAATTCCCTTTTTTTGCTTCCCTTTAAGTTCAGTGATTTACAATTCTGTCCCAAAGGACAGAGAGAAAACTGGCTGATGCTTACCTGGAGAAGATTCCTAGCCAGAAAAGTTCTTAAAGCATGTTCTTAAGTATTCTAAAGCACTTATGTAGGTGGTGGTTTGCTGGTATCCAGATATAAGTGAAATAAAAGCCCCCAAAACAAATTACAATTTATCTTGCAAAATGAGTGAGACTAAATAACTTTCCAAAATTGTTAGATGTGTCAGAAGGAACATTTTGACTATTAATAAAATTCTATTTTATTCATTTATGTAAAGAAAAGACCTCAAAAATACAATTTTAATTTTTGAAAAAACCTGCCTGAAGAGTTAATTCTCTGTATGATTCTCTCCATTCAGACAGTAACTTTTATAATATGCTTCCTGGTAACATTTCCCTGAGCAAATCTTAAGCAAGAAAACACAGGAACCAGTAATGTCTTTTTATTAAAATACCTCTTAAAACACTCACTGTAACAAAATACACAATGGGGTGCTGCTGTGTGGCTTCTGCATACGCACAACGCTTACAGCAAACTCCAGGCAACATCAGGAACCACAACAAACAGGGTGAGCCCGGGAAGCGCGTCCCCACTGCCTGCCCTCGGGCTGCTGCACACACAACTGTGGTTATGCTCCTACGCCGTTCCCCGCGGTGTTTCCTGGACACCTGCTAGGCCAGGTCCCCCCCCATCCCTCCCACTCCCACTCCCACCCTTGACCACACGGTGACATTCTGATGATGTAATGGAGAAAGTGTCACAGATCCATGGGGCAGCAGGTGCCTGACCAGAAACATCAATCCTGTTTTTCCCCCAAGAAAATTCTCAACTGCTGTAATGTTTCCAGTAATTTAAGGCTGCCAGAACCCAAAGCCTGCTAAGGACCTGTAGCAATGCTTACTGTGGATCTGCTGTCTTGGTCACGAGTGATGATGCATCACCCTCCAGCTAAAAACAGTCACAGCTACTCTAACATATTCTTTCTCTCCATTCATTTTCAGAAACTCAAGCAGAAGAAAAGCTAATGCAAATTGTCAAATACAGGAAGAACAACTCCTTCACAATAAGCTAAGCGTTTCTACCACATCTATGATTTTTTATCACTTAATTGCAAGTTTAAAGTATGAAGGTATTCCATTATCCACTACTTCAAAACAATAAACACTCATCTTTCAAGTACTTCTTTACAGCTGAAAAAACAGACTGAAGAAAGTGACATTATTTCAAAAGAGTAGATTTTTTTATTATTTCATATTGAAAGAACTGTATCATGAAAAAAAATTTAAAAAACCATTCAGGCAAACTTTTCAAGAAAATAAATTTAAAATGACTGCTTTCATTTGTACATGGTACAGATAGACAGGTGTGACCAGAAAACAGTTTAATCCCTCTGTTTAGTGAGAGAAACATGAATAGCCAAGTTCTTTGTTGTGTGTGCATATGCATATATGCATTTAAAAAATTTCACGAAGTTAAAACCCACATCATTATAAATACCAAAAGCTGATCATTAACTAGTCATACACTTTATTCTTGCACTTAGTACCATTATCAGTGGAGCCCTAACTGGGTCATAGTAACTGCCGTGTAACCGTCAGCATATTAAAACACTTACTTAGAAAAATGGACAATGTTCTAAACTCAGAACATCCTAATTTTGCCTTTGTGGACACATCTCCCCTTCTTCAGCGACAACATTTCATGGAGGGAAAAAACAGTATTATGTTTTGGAATAAATATTCACAGCAAACTATTAAATGAGAACATGGCTTCTGCCAACTGCTCAACTGGTGACCCTGTTATCACTTGCTAGTTCATGTAATTTAATTCTTCTTTATTCATTTAGTCATTAAATCCATAATAGCCTTTCCTGTTTTCTTTGCTGGACTGAACATTCAGGGAGTGAGCAAAAGGAGGGAGATGCAACTGCACTTAACAGCTTTATTTTGGTATCTAAGAGAAGACTGACATTTTTTTTTTATTTTTTTAAATATATAAATTATGCAACATAGGCCCCAATGTACTTAGGAGAGCAGGGCAAATGAAACTGGGAAGAAAAGCATCCCATACACAGTGTTTTGTTGGGCAGCCCTTCTAAGAAGTTCGGATTTGATCCATGACAGCCCATGTGTTCAACTTGAAGAGAAAGTATGAGTTTTTCTTTTTCCCCAAATACCATTTTGACAGTAGAAGGCTAAGCTCAAAAACTGGAAGGTAATAAACTTAAAAAAACAAAACCAGAAACTAAAACAACAACAAAAAAACCCAGCCCCTAAAGAAAAACCAACCCTCCAACCTAGCAGCCATTTAATTATTTGTTGAACTTAGATGATGGGAATCTCATTACCACATTCTTAAGGTTTCCCTACTCTAAACTACAAGATATAGTACTACATTCTGAAAACCTGTAGAGTCAATACTTTCAAATAGAAAGAAAACAGTCAGAACAGCAAGGATGAGCATGGCTTTACCATTTGAGTAGAAATAAAGAAAAATAAACTTAAAACATAGTGTTGAAACTTCTACTAGTTAGCCTTGCTTACATGAATTAAAAAATATATAAAGAAAAACAGAAGTTATCAGATTTTATACATCTTTTTTTAACCAGGTACATTTAATTGCAACCAGCAGGCACTCCACCAAAACGCAGTATTTGCAATCCCCATCTCTAACGGAGAGAGATCACTTTGGCCTCAATATTCCTATATTACAATTTTCCTGTTCAGAACATGCAGTTCATACATTTTACAGTTTTACTGCCATAGTCGATGCATTCTGGCCCAATGCACTCACAGCAGGCGTTGTGAAACCAGCGGTATTTGGAAGCTCCCATGGACTCGCAAGAGATCTTGCACTGATGTATTGACATGCAGTCATCAAAATACACCACAGTACACATATGCTCTAAACCAAGAGGGGGGAAAAATTTGGTTTAAAAGGTCTTACATTACTTTTAAAGGTTAGTTAAAAATTAATTAAATGTGCAGCTTTTGAAGTAGGATTGCAAATCATCATGACAATGAGGCATAAGGAAAGAAAAGACGATAGTGAAAGCAGAGAGAGGAGGCAGAGAGCCAAGGTACAATATCAACTTCAAGTTTTCAGTGTTTACAACTCAACCTGCTGTCTGCTCTCCATCTGCATCAATTTATTTCTATAGGCACAGGCAAGAAAGTTTTTGGGTTTTGTCCTCCAGTTATGAGGGATCCACCTTCTGAAGTTTAAGGATAGGCTATGCCAAAAGAACAACCAAGCATGTGTCCTCTGAAGGCAATATCAAGATATCACTTCCGCAGTTGCCAGCCGTTACTATTTGCTGTCATGAAAAACTTCTTAACCCACTTATTTAAAGTGTAAATGTTTCCTCCTCCCCCCCACTCCACAACACTCTTCAGCTGCACAGAGCTAGAGAATCCCATTTACCTCAACTTGAAACTGCACGGTTTTTTCTACTTTTTTTAGCAACACCACCAGCTTTACTACTAAGATTAAGAAACTCCTTCTACCTAAGTAGAAGTTTGTTCTTCTAAGATCCATGCAATTACTTGAAATGCCACTAAGTTTGGTGCTGTAACCCCAAACTGGAGCTGAGGCCTTCACCACAACTGTAAAACAAAAACATGCCTCCCCAGTCTACTTCCAATTCTCCAAGCTGACAGATTCTTCCTGTGCTAAACGTGTGGTTACACCATAACTTGGTTCATCCTCCAAAGGATCTTGATTGCATCACATTTACCCCCAGCACAACCTGGCACACTGTGAGGAAAAGCACAACTGAAAGCTGTCTGCAGACATGCATGTCTCACTCGTACACATCATGCAGATTTGTGAGCGGGAGATGCCAAGAGGCTTTCTAGCCTATTACTGCTTATGGTGCGTGGATCCAGGAGAAACACACTGACCTACATTCCAACGTTGATGAGAAAAATGTAATCCAAAGGTAAATGGTAAATCAAGAGAGTGGGGGGTTTTTTGAATGATTATGGAGGTATGGAGAAGGGTGAGTAACCAAAGGACTCTCAGAGCAGTGCAGTTGTTAACCACAGCGTTTATTCAGTCTCTAATCTGTGAGTAAGTCTTGGGAGGCTGAAGTGCACCAGACCCTCCCCTTCAAAATATCGGTGCCCCATAGATTAGCAGCCTCAGTACTATGCAGATCTCACGGCAAGCTCTTAACGTGAGGTCCAAAGGTGAGTTGAGGCCAGCAAGGGTCTCCATTAAGTCACTTACAAGTCATCAGATTTATGCAGTTGATTTCCCCAGTGCAAACAACAAATGATCTCTGTGGTGCCCATGCTTCTGGGCACATGACAAGGGACAACACCACACACAAGAGAGCAAAATGTGCTGGTGTGCAAGCACAGGAACCTTACAGAACCCTCTCTAAGAGGTGTTCATACTATTTATACCCTCTTAAAAATCACAGAATCATAGAATGTTTTGGGTTGGAAGGGACCTTCAAAGCTCATCTAGTCCAAGCCCCCTGCAGTCAGTGAAGGACATCTTTACTAGAGCAGGTTGCTCAGGGCTGTGTCAAGCCTGACCCTGAACATCTCCAGGGACAGGGCCTCCACTACCTCCCTGGGCAACCTGTTCCAATGATCCACCACCCTCAGATTGAAAAACTCTTTCCTAATGGCCAACCTAAATCTACCCTTTTCTAGTTTAAAACCGTTACCCCTCGTCCTGTTGCTACACGCCCTTGGGAACAGTTCTTCCCCAACTTTCTTATAGGCACCTTTCAGGTACTGCAAGGCCACTATAAGGCCCTCCCCAGAGCCTTCTCTTCTCCAGGCTGAACAACCCCAACTCTCTTAGGACACTGAACTGCACCAGTGCATGATCACAACAGCCCAGACTGCCTCCAACCTTGACATCCCTGATGAGCTCACTTGCATTGGTGACCATCAGGTCCAATAGTGCTTCCCCTTGAGTAGGGCTGTCTATTTCTTGTGTTAGAAAGAACACTCTTGCTTAATCCAAATTCACTCCTTTGATAACTTTTTAGTAGTTATCTTCTCAAGTTTGCCATTAAATGCCATAAGAAAGGTCAGTCTTAGAAGATGTCAGCTGGAGGCACACAGCCTCTGCCCCAAAACAGGCAATCCTGGCTAATCCCGAAAGGTTTCCTGATGCAAAATCATCTTTTGAGATGCCGTCTCCACCTGACTGACCTCCGTCTCCATGCTGGCTTGAGAAGGCAAAATGACTCATGGCTCTCTCTAGATAGGAATGAAACAACTCTTTAAAGAAACCAGAGTCCTCCCTCTCCAAAGGGTGTCCAGAAGTGCTCACTGCTATCATGATGATCATGGCACTCCAACTTGCAACATGCAAAGGAAAGCCTACAGTAGGTCAGGAAAGCTTGTCAGGAAAGCTGTGCGCACTCTGAGGTGGGTTAGCGGCTCCCAGCATCTGCAAGCTGTCTTCACAACAGAGTGTGACCAGTCCTCTCTGTGTTAGGAGACATCTGTGCTCACATTCATGTTGACCTCATCTGCGACAGCCTCTGGAAAAGCCGAATTCACCACCTTATGCCTGCTGAAACTTGAAACAGACCTCTTGTGGAAGAAGAGCCTGTGATTTGTAGGATGTAGAGATCCACAACACTAAACTGAGAGACTGAAGACATCTCTCAGGGAGAAGGAAGTTGGAGGACAAGCAGCATCGGGCCCATAACCCTGGCAAAACCAGATGACGCAGTCATCAGGTCCTGTGAGACTGCAGAGACTGCTCTCCTCAGACCCTCTCCCAGGACCAAAATGGGAATGAAACCCAGACCTTAACCTTGTTAAGGTGGCAGCAGCAACCAAGGACATTAATCTTGACTGACTGGTGAGCAGAGTAGAAAGTTTATTTTCACCTGCACACAAGCCAAGAGGATTAAGCCCTAGAGGACCAGTCCAAAAATGCTGCGAAGGCGAGAGGACAGAGTGTACATGGCAGGCCAGAGCCAGCAGTAGATCAGGCTGGTTCTCAGTAGCTCTGGTAAGCCCCTGGAAGACACGCTCCATGTATGTGCTACCAAACTGTTTCTGAAGTCTCGCTCACTCAGAGACCTGCCAGGTCCAAACCAGACAGACTGGCCAGGGCCTTTGTTCGGCCACTCCTGGTCCCCTCCTCAGCAGCGCCTGTGTGCCCGTGTAGACGCTGAATTACTGAAAGCAGGAGAGTTCCTCACCTCAGGCATCAGATCCCTCTTTATAGGCTGCAGAAACAGAGTTACACAGGGGAAAAAAATACATACCTACAGGCTCAGCTGGGATCTGGGGGAGTATTTAAATTAATTCACAAACCTAATTACGTAGTCATCACTTGGCTCCCTCAGTGTAGATAAAAAGGCTGTTACTCAGTGTAGTAACAGCTCTTTCATTTGCATTCTGCCAATTTTCACACTGTAAGGACTACAGGCGCAGGGAGGGAGAAGGGTGCAGCAGCATTCTTTTTTTCCAGAACATGAGTCTCTCTCCTATTTTTCCCCCAATTCATACTCAATGAAGGTTGTGTAGGAGAAGAAACAATCAAGTCTAAATTCAAAATGTCCAGAAGAAACAGACTCACATTTCTATCAGGCTTTGCTACGATACTGTCTGTGCTGCAAGTGAGATCTGTATTGGTGCACTACAGAGGAATTTAGTAACTTGGAGAAGATAAAACAATTCAGTTCTTCTAAGTTAAGGAATAATGCCTGTCTACAAGATGAAAAAACTTTCCCAGTTAATGACAATTCCCTGTATGCCATCTTTGAAATTAAGGTGCTGTGTTAATTTCAGTTATCTGCAAGTCTCTTTGTTGGTAGCTCTAAAAGTACTTTAAAAAGGCAACTGTCCTTTATCCAGCAGCCTTACCATTTTATACCAATCAGAACTTATAAAAAGAAACAAAAAAAAAAAAGGTCTTCCTAGAGTATCTACAGAGGTAGATGCCACTTTACTGGATTTCTGGCTCTCCTCTACCTGGCTGGCACTGGGGTGGGGGGGTGGGGAGCAGAAGCGCAGAGCAGACGCCATCCCCTGTGTAACCAAGCAGTGTAAATCAGAAACCCTTAACTACAACAGAGACTTTGTTTCATCGGTTGCCAAAAGATTATCTAGTTCCCCTCTCTCTAGCCAACATCCTGTCATCATCTGAAACCATTAAGCTTATTTAAGCATCTGAACTCACAGTTCAGAGCTCTGAGAGTATCAGCTAAGAGTAAAGCAAAAAGAGTAAAGTATAAATGTAGGTCTAGATTTATAATCATCACAATCCTCTCTAAGGTTGTGGCTCAAATGCCAGAAACTACTGATCTCAAGAACCACAGCAGCTCCAGCAGCACACACATACTTTGGCAGCTAAAACATCAAAAGTCAATTCACAGGAGGAAAGGGAAGACACTCATTAAGATAATAACGGGGAAGTTCAAGGTCTGGTGGCTGGGGCAAGAAAGGAATGCTCTATATCCCACCACACCCCACCTCCTCCTGGATCTACAGCCGCCCTACCAGGGCTGGTGGCTCCACGCCACTCAGGCACAAAGCTCGTGGGTTCCCATGGTGGGTGATGCTTTTCCTGGCACTCACCCCAAACTCTATCGAGCAAGTCTGGCCCCCAGACCAGCCTAACGCAATCCCTGCATGAACTCGCGCTGAAGTCAAAATCAGAACTGTGTCACACCATGTGACAAGGGGTATTTGTAGGCAGAGCCCTCCCACATTTTGGGATGTATTCCACAAGACAGCACAGAGACTACTGTGCCCTTACCAAAATCTACTTCTCATTAGCCCCTCTCCCTTTACACACAACAGGCTGCTGCCAGCACACCATGTGGGAGTGAGGCATGCAAGGAGCCACAGAAGAACCACAAAATGGAGGAGGGCACAGCACTGTAAGGAAAACATAAAGCATCTGTGTTCCTCCTCACAGGAATAGTCTTTCAAATCCCTGAATGTTACAGCCTTGAAGGCAACTGCTTAGCCAGTCACCCAAAGGACACCTGCCTTTGCAAGATGTGCCCTTTAGCCTAGCAGCACGTTTGGGGAGAAGGAAAGCACAAAGAACGCCTTTAGTTTCTCCCACTGCAGGCTAAGCTTGTTACTTACTGCACCTCGGCACACACACATACACATGCACAGACCCAGCCCCTCTTTCAGTGCTTCTGCCACGTGCTAGCTTCTTCAACCACAGTGACTCCATTGTGTGACTCAACTTTGCATGGGCAGAAACCATCAGAATCCAGTAACTTCTTTGGCTCCCTCTTTGTGCCCATGCTCACAAGGCTCTTTAGCCCTTGACCTCTCACCCCTCTACCTTTTGCTTACTGCTTCCCCAATAAACTAATCAAAAAAGTATTAAAACCAATGCCACCTCACGGCTCGCACAACACCCAACACAGGAGGTACAATTCCCCAGTTGTCCTTGCTTCCACCATAATAAACATCAACTGATGAAGGCCAGCAGCCAACTTTTCTTTCCACTTTCTGTTCTCAAGGCTCAAATCACCCGTGTTTTTATAAGCAAACTTTAATATGACTCCTGAAAAAGCAGAGCACTACAGTTATCTACATTGTGACCAAGAAAATGCAGCCTCCTCAACATATTTACTTATTTAGATAATTAAAGTATAGGATGTTGAAAGCTACTTGCTACCTTTTCCAGTTCTTCACTGATCACTAAGATGGAGGAGGCATAGCCAGCGATTGTAAGAACAGCTCTGACATTTGTTTTTGTTCTAACTGTCTACTGAAGCCTGAAAAACAGTGGCATTTGGTAACTATTTCCAAATATAACTGCTGTTTTTGGACTGTCATCATTGCAGTGAAAACTCTCCCAACTTAATCTCTAATACATTCTTAGTAAATTAAACGGAGAGTTTTGACTAAGAAAAAATTGCAGTGTTATGTATTTGTCTGTGGTGTTAAACTCAAAACTCCTCCACACCCTTGAGATGCAATTCAAATTCCAAGTTTAATCCAAAACTATCATTAGCCCATCCTGTTGGTATGGCAGTAAAGGACTGTCAGGGAAGAGCCATCTGGGCTGCAGTACCTAAGCACAGTGGGATACATTCAGGATTGTTCTAAGCATAACTTCTTTTTCCCCCCAAGTGTAATTTACGTCTTTAAATACTGTGGTGTTTGCACACAGGGCTTTTTGTGGCTTGCCATGTAACATGGCTTACTGCATCATTCTCATAATGGCAAGCAAGCGTTTTAATAACGTCAAAAACATATGAATGAGATGCTTTCTGACCATCTGGTTTCCCAGTTCTGGACTTCATTTATTTTTCTAACGTGCCTTAACCAAAGGAAATTAGAAAAGTTGCCATTATGGTCCCATTTAATCAACAGCAGTCCTACTGAGAAACGGAACTAGGTCAAAGGTTGACAATGGAACGGAAGAGCGGCGTGTCCATCAATTAGCGTATCTTTCATGGATAAGATAAAAGAGCCATCACAACAGCAACATATGGGGTTACAAATATCTAAAGTGTGTGTTGGGAAGGAAGCAAGGCATTAATTACACTAAGAAACGAATCAGATGCTTTTGTTTTTCCCTGTTAAGCAGTAATTTCACTATGAACTGTTTATGAGATTCTTTTAAGGCTGATGTAATGATTCGCAGGGAAAATATTTCAGGTTTAGCGTGGAAGCCAAGAAGCAGAGAATATTTTTCTTATGCCACTGTTGTCACTACCTCAAAATTCTCATCTTCCCCCACACCCAGCAAACAGTATTCTGAAGTCTGTCCTTTAAACTGAAGGTGAGAATATAAAAAACTTGATATAAAGAAGAGGAATGAGCCCCTAAGTTGAACCCCACCCTCAAATTCTTCATTTTTAAGGTTGTCTGTCACATACACCTCCTCAACACAAAGAGTGATCTTGCTAAGCTTATTCAAGTTTACTATTAATCCTGGATTTCCTACATACCTTCCTTCTAAAGAGGTCAAGTTATGCCAGCCCAGACTATCGAAATTAACATCTACTCCAGATACAACGGTTTATGGCATGTGGCTTTCTCAAACCTCTGAAGCCACGTTTCAATTGCCTACCTGTGCACTGATACATTACCTGGATTCAGTTCTTGGTCTGTCCTGTCTCCTAAGCTACAGGTAACTGCTTCAAAGTCAAAGAGCATACCGTGCCAGTGCACATGAAATAATGCACAGGAGGAATTACAGACATGTCAAACTCATGTGGTTCAGTGTCTCCTAAGATCATCAGACACTTTAACACCATCTTCCATGTTCCTCAATACTTTTGCTTCACGCCTCATGCTCAAAATTACACTGAACTTTTCATGTTTTTATGGGAAAAGAAGAAATGAGCACAGACAAGCACAGGAGATGCACTGAGAAGGCTCCAGGAAGAGACAAGAGGAAACACTAGGAATTTAGACACTATGCTCATTACCTTTGTCACTAGAGTAAGGTGTGTGGACATTGTTGCTTGGAACAGAGACGTTCTGATGCTGTGGCTGGTTCACTGTTTCTAAAAAGGAAACAAGGTTCTCGTGGTGTGACAGTTCTTCTGCCACAGGGAAGGAAACGATATTCCAGTTTAGCTGAGTATCCCCTTCTGTCAGTGCCCGGAAAAGGGAAGGAATTGGTTCATGCAGCTCCTCGACAGTGCTCTTGGATGTTGGAGGCGTGTCACTGTAATTGCGAGGATTGCACATACCTGCAGAGGAATGAAACAGTAAGTTACACAAAACTCCCTCAACTTTTCTCCTTGAAACAGGCAGGAATATTTAGAAAATTAAAATTGGGTTTTGGGGAGTTTTTTTGTTTGTTTTTTTCCTAAGCAGAACAGAATCTTGTTATGTACATACCCCTCACCCAATATATGTACCCCTTCACTCAACAGCAGAAATGCCACTAAATACAGCAGGACAAACTTTCCATAATTTCCAGGTTTCAGATCTCTGCAGACTCCACAAAACACACCTGCAACTTTTGAGATCTAACTGGAAAGAAAAAACCACATCTACAGGGCACTTTCCTTCCCTTTTTACGTTATCTTTACAGTTTAGAACACGAAGAGTTCAACAAAAGGTTTGTTTCCCCTGGGAAAACAGACAAAGCACAGCATAATCGATACCAGTATAAATGTGGAATGGAAGTTTACGACTGAAGGAAGATAGTATCTTGACAAGTCCTGAGGTACATGAAGCTTTTGATTGCAATTCAAGTATTCAACCTCACCCACTGCAGCAGTGCACTACATCTTATTAGTCATCTGCCAGAGGTGCAAAGATCAGTATCAGGAGGGAGCAAGAGCCTGAATTACTTTACCTGCTTAGAGAGAGCTGAGATGAACCTCACTTTGCTACTTAGTTGGAGGGGTCACTACAGGCAAAATGCTGTTTCCAGGTTCTCTCTTCCTTATTTTTCAATGTCTTTTGTTGTATCTTTTTTGAAACCTTGTAATCCTCTTGGTCACGTCCTACAAAATGCTTTTGTGATGTGCAATGCAGGTGCCGGTTTTTTCATCAATCATTTAAGCACTAACCTTTACTACCAGCAATGAAGTGAAGGGTATCTTGATTTAATCCAAACATTGAAATGGCCAAGATTGAAAAGAAAAGTTGTACCTGCATAGGTATTTAAGGTCAGAAGCCATAAAACACTATTAGAGGTCGCCTGGCAAGAGGATGACAAATCCACTTTCCTCACGTACATCTGGATACCATTTTGGGCAGTCTCAAAGACACAGTTTTAGACAGCTACAGCTGCAAAGCACACCAGTCTTGAAGCATCTTGTATCAAAGTGGTATGGGACATAAATGTTCAAAGTCTACCTGCCCCACACAACCAGAGAAGCATCACCTGCCCTGCAGATACATCAGGACTCTAGCTTCAGAAATCATGTTTAACTAGAACCTCATACAAAACCACAATCTTTTAAATCTAAGTAGATGGATTTCCATAATGAACACAACAGAATGAAGTTTGCCCATGATGACTAGCATGAGATCTGGCAAATCTTAAGCAAGCAGTTAGCATTACAATCATTTAATAATAGGAATAACACAGGAATAATAGGAATAAGAAGATATTATAATATAACATATAAATGAATAACAGGAATGATAAGGTGGTCTGCTCCTATAAAACGGTGAGCCAAATATTGGGTAGGACAAAAAACCCAAGCCTCTCCTCTAAACAACATCAGGTCACACCAAAAAATAATTCCACTTACGCAAACTTCTTACCATAAACAATTATTTTCCGACTCCTCTCAGATAGGTTTGTTCTTCATAGACATTCCTAGACTCACTGCTTTAATAAAAAATGTTTGTCCTTGCATTATCACCTTTTAGCAAGCACTCTGAATATTCACTCTACAATTGTAATAAAGGATGCCCACCTAAAATTTATTTAGGAAGATACCAAACCAGGTAAGAGTTTCATACAGAGACATCAAGAGACATCTACTTTAGTTTATGTCATTGTATAATGTTGTGAAAGGGAAACCAGTAAGCCTTTTTAGAGGCCCCCTGTCAGGTTGGATTCACAAAATAAATTTCACTGATAAGAAGGACACATAGGAAAAAAATAACATCAAAACTGTTCATCAAATTATTGCAGAATGAGTACAGCTTGTGTGCATATCAATCTAATACAAAAATACTTTCTTAAGATGGTATCAAGAAATCACTGCTCATAGTTTAATGGGGAACTGGTCATTCCACAGAGATCCCACCCACTTACTATTTTTAAAGCAAACCATGCACAGGATCATGCCACTCCACTGCTTACTGAAAGACAGTAAAGCAAAGGTGAGCTAGCCAGAACCAAGCAAAAACCAAGGTGTCAGACAGCATATTCACATCATGATGGAACAGGAGAAGCAATGGACTGCACCAAAAAGGAGCATTTTGAAGGTAACAATCTTCATTAATTCAGAGAAGATCCAGACAGACAGAGAAGCTGAGAGCAGGTACAACACTCAAGACAGATCTCTTCCATGCAAGCCAGGTGGATTTTAAATGGCAGCAGAGGGAGAGTTACAGCAACCACAAGAGGATGAAGCTTGCAACGCATTCAAAACAAGAGACAGAACTAGAATATATCCTCCTTAAACAGGGGCAGCATTCACTTGCAGAGATCTGCAAACTCTGAACACCACCTGTTAGTAGTAATGCTGTTCTTGTTAAGACTTGTCATCTAATCCTACAGTAAGAACTTGTATGCCTCTTTCTTACCCTCCACAAAGAGCTCTTTTTGCAAATAAAAGAACAATGAAAATGTTGGGCCACGCATATTTACTACTAGTCCCAAGAATTCACAAGGGAACTCAAACCTAAAATTGTCCCTGTGCAGTATCTGTCAATCCACTTTACAGTTACAAAACCTCCATACAGCATCCAAGCCCATGAAGCAGGTGCTGCGTTGTTTCCTCAGGATGACAATTCAAAAAGCAGTTTATGTTTAAGAGACAAAATTAAGAGTCAGTTACAATGACATTAGCCAAGCAAAATCTGGACTGTCGCCACCCCCGACTCGACAGAGCAGGTAAGAGCTTTCCAGTGTTTGGTTCCCCACAGTAATTTATTCAGTACCCACAGAATGAACCCTAAGATGTTTAAAGCACAGATTCTGTCCTGATGTTTTACTTCTGTTACAAGACTGTGAGCACAGCGTGTGACAGGAGGGAGCAATTAAAAAAATCTCAAACAAATGCAAACTTACCAACACAGTCACAGCACTCATCCCAGAGTGTGCCCAGGCAGAGCATGCACTCCTTACAGCAGGAGCAGTTCCCTTCCCCAGGGCGGCACTGACACAGCTCCTGCAAACAACAGAAACTCATTACACCGCAGCAACCCCAGATGTCAAACGCTAACACGGCAGAGTGCTTCCTCCTCGAGCTGCAACTCAAATTACAGCATTAAAAAAAGCTTGGTACACTAGTGCAGCGTGTAAATGGTAAAACAGTTCCAGCCGAAGAACCAAACTTAGTTTACAGAGGGATCTTTTGCAAGCTTGCTTTTTTTTTAACAGGTGAAATTCTAAAGACAAATTTGAAGTCAAGAAACATTTAAAAATGGAAAAACGTTATTCATGGGAAAAATGAGTGCAATTCTGTGTATGCCTGAATCTACAAGTTCTTTGAATGGCTTTCCCATCACAACAGGAAATTCAAATTCCTTTATATATAAATAGTGCGTGCATATTATAATTTAGCTAGAAAAGGAAGTTACTGTAAGTAGCATAAACAAGAAGATACACAACATCTACCATTACACCTATTTGTGGATTCTAAAAGGAACTCACTCGGTTAAGCCATCTGACCACAGGATCCTGTGCATCTCTGAACACTTGTTACACTTTGCTCTCCATTTGCAACAGCCGTGACCCGATCGGTGTTTCCCCCCAGATCCAGCTGATTCATTTTTGCTATTACGAAAACAACCCTTTGCCTCCTTCCCCCAAAATCGACACCCTGGGATACCTCCAGGACTTCTGGAGCCTCTAGGAAGTGAAACAGTATGCACACATACTATTAATAGTATGCACACATTTTTCTTTAAACATTATTAGGCTAAAAATATGGAAGAGGTATGGAAGCAAGAAGACAAACCTTTCTTTTCCTATTACCTAACCCTGAAGGCACTGGTTTAGCAGTTCTGCTGGAGACATACACTTGTAGACATCAAAGTACAGAAACAGTCTACAATGGTGAAGGAAATCTAAAAACCAGGTGGTCTCCTTCCCTCTAGCTCAAATCCACACTAGTAATTCCAGTTCAGCCAAAAGACTGTGCCTGCATGACAACAATATACAGGCTTGAATTACACCATAGTGCAAAACATGGGCAGCCAACAAGTCATTTGGTTGTCCTAAGAATCTGGTTTTGATGACATCTGTCCAACCACCACATTACACACAACTGGTAGAGAAAACAAAATCCTGTTACTGGAAACACTGACCACGGGATCCTTCCCACCCCTGGCTTTACTGGAAGAGCCATCAGCAAATCTCTGCTGCGCACCAGGCTGGGGAAAACATGATGCCCATCCCTGCTCTTTGATCCCATTCTCTGGGCAGGGACACGCTGCAGTGCAGTTGGGAGATGCACGTGGACAGGAGGGAAGGGCAGGAAGATGGTTTGGTGTGAAATTCTCGTAACCTAGAGTCACCACCAAGGCTTCACCTCAGCTAACCACAGCTGGGTCAGGAACACCCTTCCTTACAGGCAGACACAAATGTCACCCCCAAAGTCTTTCTGTAGCACCTTGGGAAGAAGCTGAGGGGAAAAAATTACACTTTCTAAATAATTCTGTGCTTGCTCTTGCTAAGGAGCATTAAGGTAGGGGAGAAAGGAGACATTTTTATACCAAACACCAGGAGTGCACCTGCTGGGCACGGCACGGCACAGAGATGCACCTGATCACGTACCATCCCCGTTCTCTGATCTGCAACACGGACAACTGCAAATGTCCGCAGCCTGTTGGGTTGCACGGGGATCGCCCCTCTCTGCACCAACCCACGCAGGCCCACAGAGGACCAAAAGTGCACTTCAGAGGGCAAGCCCAGAGCGAGGTCTGGCTGGGGACAGGGCTCCAGCTTACAGCAGAGGAAATTTCAGGGCTCCCAGTTCTGGACTAAAACCAAACAAACCCCCAAACCCGCTGCAGATGTGCTACAATGTATTAATGCAGCATAAATTCCCTGATCTGTTATTTTTCCATTCACTTCAACCCAGATCACAAATCTTCTTGAAGCCATCAAATAAACCAAATTCACAAGCTACTGCATGTTCTGTGTAATGCTGAGAAATGCTGTTGCCTGCACAGTTTAATGTGAATTGTTTGCCCTGCTGAGTGATCACGCACGAACTCCCGCTCCACGTGCGTTTCTGCAATATGCACTCTTAGTTAAGTCCGGAATTTTCACTTACAGAGTGGAAAACTACCAAGATTTTTTTGCTTTTTCATTATCAAAGTTTATTCATGTCACCTATTACTATGCTGTTTCCAAGTGAAAGACGAAAACCAGCCTCATTAACAAAAGATACAATTTTTTCCACAAGAGGAGACACCACAAACTTAGAAAGATGACTTATGCGAATGAATGACGCATTTCTAAAATATTTATCTTACCGTTTGATAAACAGATTGTGTCAACCTTGAGAATAAAAAGCCTGAATAGAACAACTTTAAAGCCTGAATAGAACAACTTTAAAAACAGTACTGTTACCTCAGCCAGAGAACAGTATTAATACATATTAGGATGTATTAATACTCAACTAAAAATATCCCATAAGTTTGTTCTTCAACAGTAAAACTGGGCAAACAACTTCATACTTATTAAAGACATTGCAACACCAACAAGCCAGTATGTGAGAGGAGGCAATTCTCTGTAAGCTATTAAATGTAACGTATGAATTAAACCCAGAAAATTCACTAAAGTTATTTCAGTTTTATAGATTGCACTGAGTGAATCTAAGAGAAGAGTATTCTCAGTAAATTAAGTGTAACCTTAAATTATACATTTGCAATGTAATAAAAAAAATCTGCTTAGCTTCACTGTGTGTAAGCACTAGCTTGGGACAGTACCATTGTACCTACCAATATTTGAACAACTTTATTTTTATAGGAAGGGCTTATGAGCAGTGTATTTTTTTTTTTTAACTTGGAGGGGGAGGAGTGAAGAAAGAGCAACCTAATTAGTCTTATGCACAGTTGTCCAGCTCCCTCCTTCTCACAGTTGGGCTGTCTCTTCAGGGCAGTAACTGTATGTTTTTCCATATATGTGTTTCCTTAACCACTGTTCAGCCCTTCTGCCTGACTCATTCACATTGGATGCTTGTACAGGACACATCTTTTTAAAAGAATGCTTACATGAGACGTGGGTGAAGTGAGGCAGAATGAGAAACGTTCCTTGTTGATCACTGGGGGTGGTGAGGCGTCAGTGGAAGAAAATATTACTCATAAGTCAGCTTGGCAACTTCCCAAGCAGAAGTACTTGAAGGTGCATCAGAGAATGTATTTTGCTAGGCAAGAAATAAGCCTCTCAGTCTGAAGATACAGCATTAAATAGGAAGCTGGCATGTCCGTACAATAGATACTTCTGTTCCAGAGAGCAAATAAAGATTTTTTACAAGGTATTAACATCTGCATTGTTTCAAAGATTTCTTGAAATGACAGAAAGTATTTTCTCAGTGCAGTGAGAAACAGGACCTGAAGGCACTGGCAACATCCTTCCAAACTGGAAGGGGGATGAGAGAAAAAAAGCTAATGTGTTTTGCCTAGAACAGTTTATTAACAGAAAATCTCCTGGAAGCAAACCAGCCAGAACGGTTTTGTTAACCCAACTGCGTTAGATACTGCCGCTACAACATACACACTACAAGTCATTTTTAGATGCCTAAGCCCCGAAGTTAAGGAGTGTTACTTGTTTCATACCACAGGGCTAAAAAGTCTTGGAAATCCTTTCAAGCTGACAAGTTTGTACACAAGATTAACAGGAGGTGAAGACAAAGATGAAGAGATATTTCAATTGGAACGATACCACACCAGCCACAGGGACTGCAGGCATGTACTGTTTGGGAGAGAAAACTCTGTATTCCCTGCAGAACGACCCCTCTTCAGCAGGGTCTCAAATCCAAGCCTGAACTACAGCACCGTTTGTTTCTGACATATGGCTGTAGTTTAAAGAGCTGTTGCAGATGAGCCAGCAAAGCTCAACGTACCACCCAAGCTGGACTACTGCAGGTAGCTCTGCACTGCAAGAGCCAGTCTGGGACTTGCCTCAAAACCATCTGCTACGAACAATTGTGGGAATGTCCCACCCTAGAGGTTTCTGCCTTCAAGGATTTCCTCCATGTTGCAAGGACACAATATATGCCTCCACTCCACCCAGCAAGCATAACTGGTCTTCTCATCTCCTCCACACATGGAAATGTCACAACAACCCATGTGCCCAAGTCAACAACAGATGTGCTAGCATAAACACTGCAATACATGTGCCATGTGCAACCAGGGCTCGGGGGCCTACCTGAAAAGCAAGGTAACCCTCAGTTATTGACTTCAATGCCTGACTCCCAGATACATGGGAAGGAGCTACGTCCAAAGCCTTCAAGGGAACTAATTTTGTGGTCCCACTCTGCCTACACTCCCAAGCCTTACCCACAACTCCTTTAACAACTACAAGAAGCCACAAAGCTTTTTTGTGAAGGCTAAGCTTATGCAGAGAGATGCCTCAAGCTATTTTCTTACAGGTCTTTGCTTACAAAAAAACAAGAAGTAGACTATGAGACCATCACTGAAGCTAAAGCCTCAAGATGTGAAAGGAAAGCTGAATGCATGAGAGTTGTTGATCTCACGCTCCGTTCTGCATCTAACAAAATAAATATTTATGTAGGGACCACCCTTAAGCAGAGCAGCTCCTAAGGAGTGGCAGTAATGACTGTACTGACTCCTAGCCATGTTGGCAAAAATATTTATGTTAACCATATGCTTTTTGAGAGAGCAGGTCTTTTGTCTCATTATGTCTCCAAGACAGGCAGCCTCGCTTTCTGCACGCAGATGCAGATGACAAACATTCACGTTCTGTTTGCTCCACAAGTTGTCTCCGAGTGATGTGATCTCGGTTTCAAGCCACGGATTTTGCCAAACTACAACAGTTACAAAAATAAGTTGGGCAAAAATGTCATGCAATAGTCAAGCAAATCCACTCAACAGAGTATTTTATTTTTAAGTTCAGATTTCTCCAGAAGAGTTTAGAGGGGGGAAAAAAAACTACATGGATATATTCTACTTGTATACCTACCCAAGAAATAACATGCACTTCACATACCAGTGCAGCATTTATGCTATAACAGCGCTGAAGATTTTAAAAAATAATAATAATTAAAAAAGAGCCAAGAAGAAAGATGACAGTTGCTTTAAGTCAAAGCTTTAGGATAGTCTTCACATCCACAATCAGACTAGTCTGACCTGATCTGCACTTCTACAAAGAATGAATACTGACTGGTATGTCAGGCCTGTTTGCAGGAAGAGAGCAGCCAGACGGTGAAAATGAACAGCAGCATTCCCCGTAATTGTACACAACTCACGTGTTCTGGGTTCCCGGGGGGTCTCGGGGAATGGCACACAGTTTTGATTCTAGGGAAACGCTTTAAAAAGGGATTCCACATCACCATTCCACCACGAGGACAAGTAAAGCGGCGCAGACGTCTCTCTGCATGCTTAGGGCTGTCGCTAGAGAGGTGCCGACGTGATACAAGAAAAGCACATGGCGTGAGCCACCTCCACGCAGCGCTGAACCCCCGTCGTCTTCTTCCCAGCCGAGGAAGGGCTCCAGCAGCATTGGCTCCACTTCTCCTGGGCTGTGCTCTATTCAGACTCGCTCATAAAAATGAAGTTTAAATGCTGGGGTCTCAAGCTTGACTTGATAAAAGGTAAGAGATTACTTGGAAAGGAGATGTCTGTGCTTGCATGGATGGTGGGCTCCACCAGTGGCACAGGAAAAGGAGACAGTGTCTCTTCCCTGCTTTCCCCTTCACCTGGACTAACAGCTTTCCCCTGAATCAACAAATCTGTACCACTGCACTTGCTATTTAAGTGCCTCATACATCCAATGCCACAAGTAGCATCTTACTTTTTAAAGGTTTCAAGACTTGAGGTTGTTTGAAAAAATGCAACAGAAGGAACTTGTAGGTGCATCAGTTTGTCACAGCGCACAACACCCCACGTACCAGCGCAAACACCGGCGTTCCTGCTCCCGTATTTAACCACGACACAGACCATGGTGAGGCTGGGAGAAGCAGCTTTTATTTATTTTTTTTTTTTTAAGCAATGGCAGTGCAGAAGCTGGAAAGGCAACAGTTCAGCCTACAGTCAGTCTTCATTCCACAGGATGAATTTGTGAATCTGGCAAGTATTTTTATTTGTAAACCTGACAAATTTTATACAGAAGTCAATGAAATGAACATCTAAATGCTTCATGACACTTCTACGTCACTTTTCAGACTGTGATCATACATTTACAGTAAGCATGCCAGCACGTTACCAGCTTCTGATTTGTGCTCTCTGCTATTGGATTTCCAATCTACAAAGAGGCAGTAAGAAACGGTTTCTTTTAAAGCAGCTGCAACTGACCACATGAAGGCTCATTTTATCAATACGGAGTCAAGAAGCTGCTCAATACACCATTAGTAAATAAATACTTGGTAGTTACCAGAACTGCTTGCCAATTCTGCTAGAAAAGGCATTTTTGTTCTGCTGCCCATCATACCTCTTAACTCCTGCTACAAGAAGAGCAACATGGTCTCAGTCTGTTTCGCTGCAGACACACACAGCAAGTCAAAAGTAGCATCTGGATTTTAGTTCAATAGCCATTTCCTACCAGTTCAGCCTGTGAGTATTTGGTTTTGGGTTTCTTTGGGGGGGGGAGGGGTTTGTTGGGGTTTTTTTGGGGGGGGGGGAAAGGAGGGGGTTGCTGTTGGTTTTTTTGTTTGTTTTTTAGATAGACCCACATACTTTCAGAGCTTGCTCGCTACCATTAGTAGCCATAGGTCCCTCCTGATGAAAAAGCTTTTCCAAATGCACCTTGGGACTCTTAGGACGAGTTAGGTCCCTACTCGTGTTAGTTCTCTCATGTGAGTTTTTAGGCATCTTTGTACAAACTGTACAAACCTGATGTCATGGAGAACCTCAGGCATCAACTACTGACCCTCTGCCTGGGCTGGGAGGTTTAAGAAAGCAGACAGACGGTAAGTTAAGGGGAACATCTCAGACAGGTATGGGAACACTGTAAGCACATTTGAACTTCTGGTACTGCAGATATCTTTAAAAAAATAAATTGTTGCCCACAGAAACCTTTCTAATAAATGCCTGTTTTAAACTGCTGCTTGTTTATAACATCACTAATAAAGAGACTGAAAACTAACAGTGTGACTGGTAGTGACTTCTAACACTAACCCAGCAATCCTAATCCTTGACTAGAAAATGTTTCCATTAAAAAAAGAAAGATGCCCATATACACATACATTTAATATTATCTATAAAATGATTGTTATTCTGCGCTTATATGTGCAGGAGACCAAATTACTTTCCTTAAAAAGACACTATCTAACATAAAATACTGGTTATTTGTGTCACTGGATCTTTTCAAGACACAGCTTCAGAACTGTTTCTTGAATGCTTAAAAGCAAATAAAGAAAACACAACTCATACCTGTATCAGACATTTGCTGACATCGCTAGCACAGAGAGCCTTATTGCAGCCTGTTGACGACTGGATCCACAGCAGGAACAGAAGGAGAGTGACTGTGGGCGCCGTGACGTACTGCGACCTCATGTTTCCTGCAGGTGAGCAATTTTCACAAGTACTGCAACCAGCACTGAAATAAAAACCAGCAGCTGAAAAGGCTACAGGGAGAGAAGTGAAATCCTACTTTCCCTTCCCCCTTGAAACTCCTTCAATAAAGATTAATATGTTCTTTTCTGTGAGGGGGCAGAGAATAAAAAAAGGTCAAATTGGGGTGCTTAACAACAAACCCAACTCTTCCTCCCCCACCTAACTTATTTAAAGCTTTCAGCAATTGCACTTTTGGATTAAAACTGCAATAAACTTAAGGTGAACAGTCTCGAGTTTGCAATATCAAACATGACACCCTATAAGCAGTGACAATAAAAAAATGCCTCAGAAGAGAAAACCTGCCAACGAAGACCTACTTCTGTACATGCATAAAGCAGACAGATAGGTTTTGTGTAGTATCTCCTCAGGCTAAAGGTACACACAGGTGTCTAGGACCCAAGCTGTACAGCAACCTTCTACCACATGCAAGGTAAGCTGCCGTGTTATCTTTAATGTAGACAGACAGTTGTTTTCATACCTACAGTTAGATGTCACAGAGGCTTTCAATTCAATCACAACGTTATTAACTTCTTTTTTAAAAATACAGACACGAACATTTAAAAAGAGTACGGGAGACTTTGAAGGACGTAACTTTCAAAAGCCACACAAGTGAGTGAAGCCAACCGGAGCTGAGCATCTGCTACTTCAAACAGAGGGAAGAACTGGGTTTGTTCAAAGCATTCCACCTTTCTCCCTTTATGAAAGCCCAGCTTCTTGGAGGTGGTGTTTGTTACAAATATAGCACCATTAGCAGCGTGCCAGTGAGTTCTCACTCGGGCTTAGCATGTGAACCCAGCTGAAAGAGGACCCTATTGCACTAGGCACCGCACCAATATATATAACAGAAGGCAGCCCATGTTTGGGCAAGCTTACATGAGCCTGTATTGTTCTCATAAGAGGGGAAAAAATGCTAATGGGGCACTGGGTCTCTTTCTCTCTCTATCTAGAAATGTTTTTCTGCTTTACCAACTCAGAAAAACCCCACCCCTCAATTAGCAACATCCAAACAGAAAAAAAAAGTAGAAAGACACGCCAACACGGCAATAAGGCACGATCTGGACGTGTAAAGCCTGTGCCAGATTACTCTTTCCTGCAATGGTTATTAAGCGCTCCTGCATCCCGCTGCGGTGGGCGCCCGGCCAGCTGCACCCACGCCGGGCTG